ATCCAGGGACTCCAGGATCATGACCTGAGCCAAAGGCAGTCACTTAACCAACTGAGCCACCCAGGCGCCCTAAGTCTTCAAAGACTTTTGCAGAGCTCTTTAGAGCCCAAGATAAAGCCTGTTGGAACTTGGACAATTCGATGGACCCAGACCTAAGGGGATATCAGGTAGCTAGAGAAAGAAGAGGAGGATATGAGAATGCCACATCCTCTATGAACTTTTCCCAAATCCCTACCTTCCTTCTTTCTATAGCTTTTTTTCCATGATATTTCATCATAAAAATTTTCAAACATTGAAATATTTTACAGTAAACACTGATATAACCATCTGGATTCTACCATGAACATTGTACCATACTTATCACACTAGTCATCGACCCATCCCTCTATCCGGCCCAACATTTTTATTGGAGTATTTATTTGCCTTTACCTGGTTAGTCTGAAGTGGCTTACTCCAAACTGGTTTATACATTTCTTGGTGTTTTGTTTTTTTTTTTAATTACTATATTCCCAGCATCTAAAACAGTTTCTGGCACTGGTAGGGCCTTCACAAATATTTGTTGAACAAATGAAGCAACGCCATGTCTCAATTTTACATTCCCAGGGCCAACTGAGTAGAATGACAGCAGGTAGGAAACATTCAATACATGTTCACTGTATTGAATGAACAAATGAAGAATATGGAAAAGGTCAAAAAGTACCAACAAGTAAACTTCACTGCCACCATTTTGGAATGAAAGGTGGTATTCCCTACATGGTATTTACATGGTTACTACTCTTATTTCCAAATGTTTTGTGTTCCTGGCGTTCCAAGTGACTGTGTACAGCTAGTCTTGTATGTACATCTATTAACTAGTTGGACCAACTCATTAACTGAGCTAACCCGTTAAACTTATCTGTACCTTGTTTAAAGATTTTATCTTTTTTTTTTTTTTGTAATCTCTACCCCCAATGTGGGGCTTGAACTCACAACCCCAACCAAGATAAAGAGTCACATTCTGTACTGAGTCAGCCAGGCACCCTTTCTGTACCTTGTTTAATAATTTTGACCTCTGTGCGTAAGTTAATATACATAAAAGTGTCCTGAAAAAAAAACAAAACAAAAGCTGTCTATACAAAGGTAAGGCCTAGTTAGCAAGGACATCCCGCTGCACTCTGCACTCCCTGTTTTCACTCTCTTCTGTCCCTAGGGCTGCCTTACCTACAGGTAAGGAAGTTACCCAAGTCCGTTTAAATTAAGAGTATTCTGAGCACTGGTGACCTCAACAAGGACTTTTGTATCTCTGTTCTCTATAAAGCCAGCCAGGCTGCCTGTGCTATTCCCTGTGCTGTGTCATCCTCACTCAGGAGCCTGGTCACCAAATCCCATAGCTGGGGATGTTCAAATCACGTTTGAGTCTCCTATAGCAATTACACTGCAGATTCTGAATTAAAGGATCTCTACCTGTCCTCCTTCCCCTGCCACCAGGAAAAAAAAGAATCAAACATGTTCAATAAAATCCAGAGTTAGAACAGATTCAAGCAAATACTATTTTCTCGGTATCTGTGATCATTTTCGTTTATATACAGATTTCTGTCTGATCAAGTTCTGGCCTAGTTAACATACGGGGATGAAGTCAGCATGAGTGTGCAGCTATAGCCAAAGAACAAGAGACATTTCTGCTACGGTCCTCGTCTGCCCTGCCCTCCCTCTAAGTGGCTGTAGGTCCGAACTAGGCAAGGAACACTACATTTTGTCTCCATCTGAAAAGTTCTACCTCTGGGTGCTTCACAAACCACGGTTAATTCTCTAATTGCTTATCCCATTTCCAAACCGGAAAAAAGAAAGGTTATCAAACTTTAGTTTCTCTCCGAAACATTGTAGTTGCCTGTATTGCCTTTTATCAATCAGTAATTGCTTGGACAGATCATAAATACTGTTCTGAAGAGATGACCAGATGATATTGAAGAGCTGCTTACATCTGGCTCTGTGATCTTAGGTACATTCTCAGATACTGTGGGCAGCATGATAGAGCTGTCTCAAACCCCAGCAGTGGGAGCAGCTGGGAATACAAAAGCTGGGACCCCATCCCCACACAGCTAAAGAATCCAAAACTCTGTGTGTGGAGCCCAGCAACCTGTGTTTGATAAGCCCTCCAGGTACCTCTTAGCACCCAGCCAAGTTTGAGAATCACTGATCTAGTGGAAAGAAGACAATGAGCTCTAGTTGGGAAAGCAAGTTTTACACCCTTGCTTTGTTACTACTTTGTAACCTTTGGCAAGTTACTTAATTTCTATGGAATTCAGTTTCTTCAACTGTTAAATGATAAGGTGCTTTGTAAGGTGGTTGTGAAAATAAAGACTATATATTGGTATATAGCAGTTGTCAAATTCCATTTCTCTCCCCTTCTATTGGATCACAGATCACAGCTCTTCCCATAGAAGCCCCACCATTTCGGGATTAGGAGCTTCAAAGATAAGAATTCCTAATCCCCAAGGTCACTTTAAGGTAAAAAAGGTTATATCCAGAACACGCAAATCTACAGAGATAGAAAGTAGATTGTTGGTTGCCTACAGCTAGGGAGGTTAGGAAGGAAATGGGGCATGGCTGCTAAATGAGTCCAGGATTTCTTTTTATTTATTTATTTAAATAGCCTCCACGCCCAAAGTGGGGCTTGAACTCATGACCTTGAGATCAACAGTGTTCTACTGACTGAGTCAGCCAGGTGCCCCCAGGATTTCTTTTAATTTTTTAATTTATTTTTTTAAGACTTATTTACTTATTATTTTAGAGAGAGTGAGGAAGAGCAAATGAAGGGGGGGGGGTCAGAATCTCAAGCAAGCTCCCTGCTGAGTGCAGAGCCCAACGTGGTGCTCGATCTCGCAACCCTGAGATCATGACCCAAGCCGAAATCAAGAGTCTGCATACAACCCCACTGAGCTACCCGGACACCCCTCTTTTTATTTTTATTTTTTTTAAATTTCTTTTAGAGAGACAGAGCACAAGCAGGGGGGTGGGGCAGAGGGAGAGGGGGAGAGAGAGAAGCTTAAGCAGATTCCATGCTCAGCACAGATCCCAATGTGGGTGGGGCTTGATCCCACAACCCTGAGATCATGACCTGAGCTAAAATCAAGAGTCAGATGCTTAACCGACTGAGCCACCCAAGTGCCCCCCTCTTTTTAGGTAAATGTTCTAAAATTGACTATCTTGATGGTTGCACTACTTTGATTATCGTAAGAACCACTGAATTGTACAATGTATATTGATGAATTATGTGGTATGTGAATTATATCTCAATAAAGCTGGTTAAAGAATAGGTTGCAACCAGCAGGCTAGAAGAGGAAAGAGATTTTTAGGAATTGGGGCAGAAACAAGCAAAGGCACAGAGAGACTGAAAATTAAAAAGGCAGCGTCAGAAGACTTTATAACCTATAGAATGTTACATAAACGCAAG